TTTTCCATTGCGTATTTGCTAAGACGTTTTGTATATTTGTAGTGATATAGCCACTACAAGTGACAGACAGCAGTTGCTAGCCAATCACAAAAATGTGTGCACCATTGAATCCTGCAGCTCAGGCTTGTTTTAAATTCGCAAAATTTCCAAACTTTGAGAAGTTCTTCAAACCGTATTTGGACACATACTTCAAGAACACCACTGTGGCCGGATGATGAAAAAACAAGACTAATAGGACAACCCGGAAGATCCACAGCGTCAAGCCTGTTCACAAGCAGTCAGCCGCGGGCTCCTTGTCTTGCCATTTTTCCCAGCTCTTAACCGGCAAGGCAACTAGTCCGTGATCCAAGGTTTAGAGCGCTGGAATTCTGATTAACCAGTCGCGAGTTCGAGCCTCGGGTGATGCATCATCTGGGTTTGGGCATGGCTGACTTATGACGGATAATAAGTCATAACTAACCATCCCAGTTTCCCTTTCGTCGGTAATATCATCCTGCCTACATCACTAACCACTGAACGGCTGCTGATTGGCCTCAAGAGGGAGCCTCAAGGCCCAACGGTATGAGTGAGTTCTGTCAGCGATCGGTGAGCGTTTATCAACGAAAACCAAACCTGTTCACACACATAAAAGGGTGTCTCGGTTATTTCTAGGTCTCAGAACGGATGGTTACCTGAAGAAAGCTTGCTATCCATCTTAGAGAGTGGAGACTACCAGTTCAGTTGCTAGAAAGTCTCTATAAAAGCGTAACAGCCTTACTTACTGGACAATGTCCCTTCTCCTCCAATTTGGAGTTAAGAAATGACGTAGAAACGAGATAGAATCGGAAAGCCGTTAATGCCCTTAATATCTGACAACTTTAAACGGAACTCATACTGACCTACTGCTTCCAGAGTGTTCACTTTACTAGCAAGTTCTCGCTCAGGTCTTCAGGCACTACATGCGAAATTTCTATCACGTGGTTGGATGACGGCCGCAAATGAGTTGGTCGTTGGCTTCCTCTGCTGAAAGGTAAGCTGTGTTCTCGTTCTTGTTGCCTCTCTGTTTTTTCTTCTTTCTCTCTCTCTCCCTCCCTCCCCCTCTCTCTCTTCCTTTCCTCTCCCTTTGCATAACCTGCTCTACAATGCTCATCTCCGACTTGTTTTCCCTTAAATCACTGCGCCCATCCCACCTTAGGCGACCGATCAGGTAGGCGGTAGATATAGGTCGACCCTCAACGGATTTCTTTCCTCACTAAAAACAAGCTGATGCGCTTGACGCTATCACGGTGCGCTAAAAGCCGTAGCTCGGAGGGTTGCCAACTGACGGGATAACTTGGACACCACAGTCGGCCCAGTGTG